AACTTGAACTAGTTATCAACTCTACCAGTAGTTCTTGAGAAATATTGTTCTGCAAATTACTATTGCATTATTCTAGACATTTATTTCTCGTGCAAAATTGTCTAATGTTGTGCAAAACCATAGAATGTCAAACAACATATGAGTAACCAAATCCAGTCAGAAGATTTATTTGTTTTTATAGGGAAACACCCAGTGTAAAACTCTAAAGTGAAATATGACATAAAACAATGTTTTACAATAGGGAATGAAATTTTTCAGTACCGTTCCTTTTTTGTTGTTGACATAAATAATAAATCACACTGAAGAAGATACTGTAAAAGAATTAATTATTCACTGGTTTTTAATTTAAATTTTTTATTGAAATCTGCTAATTTAAATTAATGTGAACATGTAAGATAACAATAAAGCTCATTGTATCCCTGCCAATGATGACAAAGTTTCTCAAATATAACCCCCCAAAAAAGTTAGGGCCTGGCAGTAAAAATTAGGGTATATTCAATTTTTTTTCTTAGTGTTAGTCTTAGCCTTAATGTTGTATTATTTATGGACAATATATTTTGCTAAGTTTCTTTAGTAAATTTGAAAATTTATCTTAGTTCTGTCAACAACATGTTAGGTTATTATGCTTGTTTGTGTTTTTATTCACTGTTATTTGTGGGATTATGTTCAGCTGCTTTTTAATACAGATTACAAAAGACAATAGATTGGCTTGTGCATGTGTTTGTACTCTCCAGCCCATATTTACTACAAGATTAAAATGTGCTATGTTGTCTGGGTGATTGTTTCATTATTAGCTCCGCTATTGAGCAGAGCTTATCATGCGAGTGATTGTCTGTTGTCGTGTGTGTCAACTTTTTACTTTTTCGACTTCTTCTTGAAAACTACAATTCTTACTGCTTTGATACTTGTGGTGTGAATATTTTTGTCATTATTGGTAAAAAGTTTCATTTTCAACTTCTTGTTAAAAACTTCTAGTCCGATTGCTTTGATATTATATTATATATATATATATATATATATATATATATATATATATATATATATATATATATATATAGGTACTACATGTGGACCTCTCATCACAAATTCACAAAATAATCCTGTTTATAGTCTGCATTTCCCTTCAGAAGATTGGGACAGAAATAGCTAAATTTTTTGAGTAAAAACTGAAAAATTTAGTCATATTTTATCTATTGGCTCCAAAATTAGGGATTCATTTCCAGAAATTAAAAATCTGAAGTTAAAAAGGTTAGACAGTGTTTCCACAGCAAGATATTCATGAAATTATAGGTCTTTGGTTTTGTTTTTTTCTCCTCAGGTGCCACCAACTCTGGATGAATAAACATTATCAGAACACTACAGATATGGTGTGACACTGCAGTCATCATTTTCACTAGACAATTACCAAACGTACAGTGTATGTCGTTCTTGAAAACTTATTTCTATGCTTGACGATTATAACTTTTTAGAGCAAAATGTCTTGGCTTCTTGGGAAAGCGGAGGACTTGCTAAATAAAATGGACCAATCTGCATCGGATGTTTTAACAAAAACAGCAAACCATGACTCCATGTATGCCAGCATTCCTGAACACACTACTGCACCTCAGAATCTTGTTATGCCTGATAAAATGAACGCATCCCAAGACTTGCAGGCAACTCTGTTAAACAAAAGTGTTTCAGCCGGTAACTTAGCTACATATCTAGCAAGTACAAGTAATATAAGCAGGACTAATACTGGCGATAGTGCATTGAATAAACCTCCCCAATCAAAGCCTGCAGTGTCGTCTAATCCCTCAACACCACCGCAGACAAAGAAATCTTCCAAGGCTTTCCAATCAAAACCAAAGAAGAAAGATGAAGATGAGAAGTTGTTTGAATTTCTGAACAGTCCTGACACGCTAAGTACGGAGCGAAAGAAAGATAAGCAACTGAATGGTAGACACTCAAGGCGGTCCAGTACGTCATCGACAACATCCACAAGGACGGATAACGCTTCAGCTGAAGGAAGTGTTGGAATAACGATATCAATAGAACCATCAGGTAAAAATGTATTAATAATTATGTGTATTGAAATTTTGTTTGGGTAGTGTGAACCTGAAATAACTAACACGTCAATGGCTGAGATGTTTCTCCCCATTTATTTTGGCTATCAGTGGTACCTTTCAGTAGGTGATGTTTTAAATTGCATTGAACTGGGAAATTCTTAAATTTTATGCATATTTCTCAGTTTTATTTTATTTTTTCATTGAATCTAGAATAAGCAATTTGCCTGTTTGGCAAATAAAGTAATTTTTCACCTTACTAAATGTACAATATGTTTAGTTTTTATTGAAGCAACTATTCATCTTTTACATTTATGCATCAAGAGCACTACTGTTTTCCAGGCTGCATCATCTGCCATGCATCCAGACTGACAACACATGTTTCTGTTTTCATTTTGTAGAACAATGTAAAATGTAACCCTAAAATCATTTGAGTGGGTGCGTGTGTATGTGTCAGTAATTTTATACAAGGGATTACATGCGTCTGCTTGCCAAAAAAAAATGGTGTGTGAGACATGCTGTGAATAATTTTTTGCAAACTTTGGTACTAAGACGGGGAAGAACAGCAACTTCTATGAAATACTTAAAACCCTCATTAAAGTTTTTGTCTTCAACTATCATGTCTGTATTGAATTTGATTAACCTGAGGTATATATTGTTGGTAGGGAAAAAATAATTATCTGTGCTGTGCAGTGTTCATATAACATCATTTATTTGCAATCCTTTCATAAAGCATAAGTTTATAAAAATTATTATGGGTAGTATTACTGTGAAATCTGTATTTGAAACCGCGGCTTCCATTAAAATTGTACAATGCAATAGAAGGGATGCAGCATCTATTGGACAATCTACACATACATGTATGAGAAATAACAAATTGTTGGTGCTCAATTATACCAAAAAAAATGGGTGCGACTTCTATTAGGGATGTGGCTTCTAATACAGATTTTACAGTAGTATTCAGCGTAAAGTCAGTTGTTTATTTGATGCTCTGATGTTTGGGTTATTGACCTAATTATTCACCTTTGTACATGCGGTGTAAGGTTTTTTAAAGGCATAAATTTGTATCTGCATCATTAGCCGATGACCATAATGAGCATACTGATGGCAGTGACAGTGCAGTTGGAAATGAAATCGCTGACTCAACGCATAATGCAACGCCGGAAAGTCAACAAGAAGGTCTTCTCAGTAGTCATTCACAGCAACTCTCTTCATTGGAATTGGAAAACAAACTATTGAAAAATGAAGTTTCTTCTCTAAATCAAGAAATGGCATCCGTTGTTCAGAGGGCTAGGTCTGCCCAGGAAGGTATGTGTATGTTAGTCTGATGACTTCATCCCACAAAAACTGAAAAATACATCAATAAAACATATGGTTATAAATCCCTATATTGAAAACTTATTGAAATATGGTTATTGATTAATGGTTATTTTTTGTCAAACTTAGAAATGAACCGGTTACGAAATCAGTTGCGTAATAGGAGTTCACAGATGACTGAAACAGACAGTATAATTCGTCAGCATCGATCACGAGAAGAGGACTATGTTGAGGCAATAGCTGCTAAGGATTCACAGTTAGCTGTACTCAGAGTGAGACTTGAAGACTTGGATAAAGAAGTTCGAGAGAAAATCAAAACGATTGACATTTTACAGAATGAGAAAGACAGGTAGGTATGAAATATAACAAAAATGATTAGCAAAAGTACTGGTTATTATTGCCGGGAAATCCCAAATTCTGGAATCTGCATTGTTGGTAGCAGAATATTTCCCATTTGTAATAAACATACACAATATATATTGTCAATTTCTCTCCATTTTCCCATCAGGACTTGACAAAACTAAAATTTCAACACAATCCCTGATATTTACCTTTTTCTGGAAATTAAATTTAGAAGCTACATTGTACATGCCCTGTATTGAGCTAATACCGGTATTTGAACTGATCATGTTCCTAGGCCATGACAGTATTCTTGTACTCAGATTGAAAGATGTTAATGATGCTAGTTAATTCATCATAAATCTATGTAGAGTGTCATCTGTCAATGAATATGATTATTTGAATTACCCCATATTGACAAAATTATGGCACGCTGTCGACATATGGTGACAGATGTATAATAATCATATTTAGACTATACTTCATATTTGTGTATTTTAGTGAAATACGCTACCTTTATATTTAAATGTATTGCATCATTATTAAAAGCGGCAGAAATATGATGTATTTTTAGATGGTACCGGTATTATAATAAAGGCCTGACACCAATACAGTTTATTTGTTGATCTATAAAAAGGTGAATGAGAGGATGACATTTTAGTAAAGTCTACTCTCCACTGCTACAAAACATTTTTGCAAATTTTATGGTAATTGGAACTGTCAGGAATTATCAAAATAAATATTAAATTCTGTTTCATACCTTTTTCACAGGTTTTGTTCAGCTGTTAATGCAGTCACTAATTTTGTTGCTTTTACTGATGCTTGCATTGATAAAATTGACCTTATTGTTTTCCTTTTTGTAGAATTCTGAAGGACCATACTGATTCTAGCGGACTCCAAGGCCAAGCACTGGACTCTGTCAGGGAAAAACTCCAAGAAAGTGAAGCAGCACTTAAACGTGAAATCCAAACATTCAAGCAATCACAAGTATGGAACTAAATTATCAACATAATTAAGTGTAGATTTATTCAATTCTTGGGTCCTGTCCAACTCATGAGACTTACTAAAATCATTTGGTATACTGAAACATGAAGATATCTTGCATCACTTGGTATGTGTGTCAAAAGATGCTACCATAGTATCATAAACAAGTTTGTGTAGGTGTTGTTGTGGATAGAATACATGGGACAATATCTTGTAAATTCAGTCAATGCTAATAATGTAACTTGAATTTCCTGATACTGTTCCAAATTTTAATATATTGTATTTCATATTTTGTGCCAGGTTGATGCAATGCAGCGACAATCCAGGGTAGAAGAGGAACATCGGACTTTGTCATCAGCTTACTCGTTATTACAACAGCAACATAACCATAGTAAGAGTATCCTTTGGAAAGTGATATGTCTTTACTTATCACCCTTCACACGCATATTGTTAAACATCGTATCCAGACAATCCGATTTCATCATTCATTTGCACACGTTATAAATTTATGCCTGTTTAATTCTTAAATTCTCTGTAGTGTTGCTAAATTCACAGATGAATGTCAATACAATTGTGAATGTACTTGTTAGAATTAAATGTAGAACCAAGGAAACACACACTTTTGTTGTTATTTTACATGTTCATGTTGATTTAATTTAGCAATTTTTACTTACCAGCAAAAATATCTAAATTAAAACCCAGTGAATAATTGATGCATTTACAGTATATGACACTCTGTTATCTCCTTAATTTGACTGTACTAATCAGCTCACACAAACAACTTGTCAATGCAGTTAAAGACGGCTAAAAATAATTTGGATCATGTTAAGCAGGAGTTGAATGATTACAAACAGAAAGCAACACGAATACTACAGGTAAAGTAGAGTGATCATACACAACAGTCTCTGTAGGTTTATGATGTTTGTATTGGGACCACTCATTCATAATGTTCAAATTTTGCGTTTTATTTTGCAGTCTAAAGATAAACTGATCAACAGTTTGAAGGAATCTGATCCATCAATAGACCAAGGGACAGTGACAGGGATAGAGCTGGAAGAGTTGAAACAAGACAGAGATGCGATGAAAGAGGAATTGCAGGTGTCTAAAGTCAAATTAGAACAGCTGAGGTCAGAGTTGCAGGTAGGCATGATGTTCTTTCTTTGAACACACTCCCTGCTACTTTTATAATCAATTAATAAAACATTACATTTATTGTATGCTGTCTCATTAAAAATATCTTTGCAACAGTCTCGCCTGTGTCATCTACCAAGCTGCTATAAGCAATAAAGCAAATACGGAATCATTGTACATATCATAACATATCAGTGGTTTATTGGGTGTTTCACATCTCCATATCTCTCCTATTACAGGATCTTGAGTTCCAATCACAGACTGATTCAGACATGGCACAGGAACAAATCCAGGATCTTGAACAGCAGCTTAGTGATCACAGGCGACAAGTTAAAGAGTTAGAAGCTGAACTGACAGAGAAGAGAGATGAGATGAAATACATGCAACAGGAACTGTTGAAACAGAAGACAAACTTTCAAGTCAGGCTACAAGACAGGGAGGATGAAATACACAAACTAAGAAACCAGGTAAAATAAAATATATATTTAATGTGAGTGGAATCTATCATTGGTGAATGTGATTTGTATTAAATCAATTTTAGTCTGTCTTTGCAAGATATTCTGTAATATTGCTAATTATCTGTACCGGTAGTCCCTGTTGTATATAGTCCTAAACTGGACATGTGTTTTGGGTTCTATCTGTCCATGTATTATCATTTATTTGACATGGCGGCCCTGGGAAAAATGGGAGATGTTTGCATATCGGGTATTCATTTGTTCATTATTTTGTCTCTAAAGAAAAACTAAAATCACAAAAATATTTTACATGTACAGTCGTCAACTGTTTCTCAGGCATGCCTGGTATGATTTTATTCAAACTTGGTATAAATTAAACGTCACACACGATGGGTTTCTGATGCAGTTTGTTTTATGGACCAAAAACACCCACTGTTGGCCATGTTTTTGTTTTTTTTAACTTGTATCTTACTCTGAATGTTTTTTTTTTTTTTTGCAGTTAACTACTAAAACCATGAGTACTACTTCACAAACTGAACTTGAAAACAGACTGCATGCACTCACTGAGAGTCTCATTCAGAAACAGACTATGCTGGAAGCTCTCAGTACAGAGAAAAACTCACTGGTAGTTCAGCTGGAAAGAATGGAGGTGTTTACATGTATTTGCATTTTTTCTGAGGAGAGAATATGCCTTTTTTTTTCCTATTTGTCTTCAGTAATTTAAAATAAAACCAGCAAAATACAATAATAGAGTATATGTGCTCATTTTGGAGTATCTTAACCCTATTCTTTATCAAAATTTGGAAGGAACTGGAGCTACATGTACTACTCTATAATGCTTCTGGGAGGACCCAGAATGTTTGCAATTTGTAAATGTAAATTTTATGTACATTCATTATCAAATCCCCACTGTGTTCAAACCCACACATATTCAATATAAGTCCTGTGTAACATTTTGTTGCACTTAAACAAAACTTTATTATTATTATTACAGAAACAATTTGATGAAGCCAAAGAAATCTCAGCCATCCGAGCTAAGACTCATCATGCAGTATCTATAGAAGAAACAGAAGATGGTTAGTTTATACTCAATTTAAAATGATAATGAAAGCATTATTTGCTTTATGTCTATGCTCATAATAATTTTGTCTACAATAAATGCTCTATATTTGATTTATGCTAACTTCTAATTCAGCAAATAAAATAACGAATCTTGACATAAATAAAAATAAATATATAAGGAATACTGTATTTTGCGTCACCAAAACTGACAAAAATTTATTTTCATGAACTTGAACTCGACATAGAATTACAAGGCTACAGATTGAATACAATGCCAGTTACATTTCATCTGTAGACATCTTGTATGACTGCAATTTTTTTTTTGTGAAGGACAACAGCTGTTGTGGACACGTGCATTTGTTCTGTGTTACACATAGCTACAGATATGCTTGTGGATCAAATGTATTGTCTATGTTGTTCTCGGTCCTATAGTATTGAATTTATTATAATTTTCAAAATTGTTTTGGTTTCTGAAGCAGGCATCAGACAACGTAATTTCCCCGAGTTCTTGAATGAGTCCCCACTCGACACTGGAGTTACAAGAGGAATGAAGAAGGCAGCCTATACTTTGGATAGGTTTAGTGTCAAGCTGGGGATATTTCTGAGAAGGTATCCGATAGCGAGACTCTTTGTGATTCTCTACATGGTAAGTTTTGCATCGTAATAGTTGGCAATTAATCCTCAATTCTGGATTTTAAACAGTGTATTAAAGTGGCATGTTATGTTTGATGTTTGGGTCCCATGTGACAAATACAACACAGATAAATAGCATTGTTTACATGAAAATTGAACATTTAGAAGTATAACAGTTTGAGTTCATACGAGATAGCTCGAAATTGAAGAAATGTATCAGTAAGATCTGAACCAATTTGGTTTACAAGAACACTATTATTCATGATTTAGAAATATTGAAGTGGCAATAGCTGTAACTATCAAACTTCTTTGATTTTTGTTATTTTTAATAAAACATTTGTCTTTAATGCCAATTTGTAATGGCCATTGCCACAATGTGAACTCCGAAAGCATAGCATATTCGCTGTATACTGACATTGTATATTAAATCACTTGCATGTGAAAAGCAATGTCTGCGAGGTTGAGCAAAGGCCTCCAGAGGGCGGCATGTATTAAAATCCAGGGATTACAGTACAAGATGACAACTTATTGAAGATCTTGGGTGAAATGCATCATTATCTTGACAGGCTAAGCCTCTATCTGACGATCTATCACTGATGATTTCATTATGATGTGTGTTGTGCATCATAATGAAGTACAGTCAGTGTAATCAACACTTTACTTCACTGACACAGTTGTATTATGTCATTTACAGATTCTACTACACCTATGGGTAATGGTGGTCTTACTGACTTACACACCGGAGATGCATGGTTCAGATTATGTTCATTCACCGCAAGGCATGGAACCCAGGGAACCTCAGCCTTAATATTCCGGACATTCAAGATTTATTTGTATTTGACACTCTATAGCTGAAATACTTTCATTTCCGGTGCTTGACCAGAACCAGGATAACATTTATCGAATAACCAGAGATGTTCAGTGGCGACGGGTTTCTCAGTAACAGTGCGAACTTTGAACACTAGACACAACTTTAGTGGATCCAAATAATACCAGATTATCATAACCGCGACTGGGTCCACCCTTTTCGATCTTATTTCCTAGCCATCTTGTTGTGTGTTACTTTGGAAATGTTCACTGCCAATTGTTTGAGCAACTTCTTAAGTGTAGCACAGTTTAAATCTAGTGTGTGCGACTGCAAGTTGTGAATATTTCTCTCTTACGAAACCAGCGTTGAAGGGCACATATATGTTAGCCCTGTGTATTGAATCTATTTTATCATCCGTATCGGTTTGATTGTAATTTTAAACCCATATTATGGTTTAACCTAAGCATGATTACATGTAGGAGTACTGATGCTAATGTTTTAAAATGTGTAATAACATTAGAGTGAAAAGGCACCTGTGTAGCAACTCAGAATGCAGAACGCCATGTATTTGATATCAATAACTTGCTCGCAGATGAACGATAAATCATTAGAAATACAGAGAGAAAAATGGGCAAAGTCGCAAGTTGTGGATTTTACATGTGAATTCACTTCTGATGCATTGAAGTGTGGAATGCTCTGCGACAATCTAGGAATATGCATCTCCCAACTACATGTATATTGTAATATCGTATCTTCACGAAGTGAAGTGAATCACTTATTGTAACAACAAATCTTTATTTTGTCTATTTTTGTTGCCAGGAAGGCCTGTACATTGTAATTTAAGATATTGGTGACAATTGTTGCTGCCCAATGGAAGGTTATTGTCACATTTTACCCCGTTTAAGTTTACAAATACCATTCACATGTACACACATTAATAAACTGTATGTGATTCTAATACCGTATTTGTTCTGTTAGAAGTGCATCTCCAATAGCAGCGTACATAAACTAAAAGTTGCATTTATATGGCAGTATGCTGGATCATTAAAATATGAATTATTTTGATCATAAAATACACCTTTGTTAGGCACTCCTGATAGAACAAATTTGGTAGAGGAGATAGGGGTCACTATTTTTAATTATTTCGTAAGTCATACCCACTAATACATTATGAATGTACATAAACAAGGTGGTGTGTGAAATCCTGTGCATGCTTATAATATGTGTTGTCCATGATAGAGCAGTCCAACCAAATTTGAAATGGTATGGACATGCCTTCACTTCACATTGTGCATTTTGTACAGACACGTA